GGTTTTGCTGTGCTCCATGCACACTTGACCCCGCTCAGCTGTCCCATGGGGAGGGGGCAGAAAGGAGAGAATTTTACTACCGTGTAATTGAAAACTGTGCAAATATACTGCCATGAAGGATATGTACTCAAAATTGACACCGTTCACTATGAATAGTTTCATATATTCCTAACTGATACACTGATTAGCTGCCTTGAACAAAAGGTTATTTTATATATGTTATGGATTTCTTTCAAAATATAAATACTACTATCTCCTGATTATAAAAATAACAGATCACTCTAAAAAGGGTCAGACAGCGCAGACATGTCTAACATGGAAAGTGTGCATCTACAACAATCCTACTTTTCTGAAGGAGTCAAAGATTTGATACAACATTTTCCCAGGCATATTTATGTTAATATATTTTCTCCATTTTTTAGAATTCACATTTCTGAAACCCATATATGCCATTGGTTCTAGGGTGGATTAAAACAATGTGCTTTTGAATTGGTAGTGTAATTTCTTATCAAGGGGCCATCAGAATTCAGATTAAAATTGATATAGCCTGTCAAAATATTTCGTGTTATGAATACATAGTGTTGTATATGGCTGAGGTGGAGTTGATGCCTTGCTTATTGCAACTTAATGCACAGCTGGACACAACATGCCAAGTCTCAAGCAATCCCATCATCAGACTGTTAGAATCGAGATTTTAAAGCAGAATCTTGCAAGTAGATTCCCAGCCCTTTCCTTTTAGTCTAGAAGCACCACTGCAAACTGTTTAGCATTACAGTAATAACACAAGCGGTCACTGACATGAATGACAGCTGCACAGAAAGTGCACTGGCTTGGAATCGAACCCAGGTCTTCCTCACAGAAGGTAAGATTTTACCAGTGAACCACAGATGACCTCAATATCATGCCACAAAGTTGTTAATAAAGAATGAAGCAGCTCAGTATGTCAAGAAACAATAAAGATGATCCAGACAAATAAAGTGAATGTAAGAATGTGCAAAAGATTATGCATACCAAAAGATAATGCTTCTATATACCTACTACTGTTTTTTTAAGATAGAGAGTTACATACTGGCAATATGAAATCTATTTCTACAGGAAACCACAAAAGGAAAAAGGAATTAGTTCTCTTTGTGTACTTACTCTTTTCAACTTTTGAATGCTATGCTTTACTTATTGAAAATCAACTGATTTTCTTAAAATGTACAAAATATTATAAAGTAATATGAATTCATATGAAGTCAACATATTTAAAAATAATGCATACCTATCCATTTTACAGTGTTTGTTTTTTTTTAATTGGTGGTTCTTTGGTTTTATTTAAAAAAAAAAAACACAAAAACACAACAAACCTATGTTTCTTATTTGATGTCCCGGGTAATTTAGTTTACGGAATATTTCCTCATACAACGCACTCACATAAATAATGCACACATGCATATAAAGCTTATAGTGAATGGCATAGATTGAGCTGTATCACTACAAAACACTTGTACATAAGGATGTTATGTGGAAGGCTGTAAAGGTCTTCCATGATCTGATAAGCCAATCAGCTGTATAAAGATTAAGGATGAAAAGCAATTGCAATATCCCATGGCATGAGCCTTGATTTCGATGTAAGAAGAGCTTCATTGGGATGTGGCTTTAATACCTTTTACCTCACAAGAGATAAAAGAAGAGAAAAGCAAGTAGAGAGGGGGAAACCTCAGTATAACTCTCACAGAAGAACTTAAGCTCCTGTACTGAAAATATCCTAGAACACAAAGAGAGTCAAGGCCTTCTAGAGTCAATACCCTAAATTTGGACTAAAGTCTAGTATCTTAAACGTCAAAAGACTAAATGACTGATTATTAAAGTCATTCACTTATGGTATCTCAAACGTTATTGTTGTTATGCACCATTGGGTGGAAACCAACTCATAGCTGACCCTCCAGGAGGTTTTCAGAGACTGTAAATCTCATGGGAGGAGACAGCATATTTTATTCTCATGGAGCAGCCAGTGGACTTGAACTGCCCATCTTTGGGTTGGCAGTGAAACTCCATACCACTAATTGACCAGAGTTCTTTATCTCAAATAGTCGCATTAGAAAACTAAGATTGTGTATAAATAAAGAGGAAGAGGTTATGTGGTTTGCAAAAACAGTGTAACATGCATTATTTTCATAAAAATATGACAGTGCTCATAAACTCCTCTCTAAAATCCTTATTTATAATAAGGTCGACCAATAGTTATGGACAAAGAGATCCTAACTTTGTAAAATATGCATGTGTGTTTGTCTTTTAAAGAATAATTAAACTGGAAGTATGCTTGAAATATTTTTTAAAAAAATGTTCAAACATACAGAAAACGTGAACAATTGTATACTTGGTACCTAGATGCTACCATTTACAAGTGCGTTACATATTTGGCTACTAACTGAAAAGGCCCTAAGTTCAAATCTACCAGTTGCTCCATGGGGGGGAAGATGGATTTGCAGTCTTGAAAATCATGATGAGGGTTACCCATGAGTGGCTGCCACGGTGTCTTAGTGCTGCTATGACATAGATACCACAGTGGATAGCTCTAACAGAAATTTATTCTCTTAGAGTTTAGCCAAATTCAGGATGCCAATTCTAGGGGAAGAAACATTTTCTATTGGTGATGGAGTTAAGTCCTTGTTTCCTTCAGCATTTGTAGATCCAGCATTCCTGAAGACTGTCATGCATCTGGTCTTTCCACTCTCAGGGAGCTTCTCCAGCATGGGCATGGGTCCAAGATGATGAGCTCCACTCCTCGTGATTTCTCTAGGAGGTACTAAGGGTCTCCTCTCATCTTGGCTTCCTTTCCTACCCTTCTATCTCTAGTGAGATAAAAGCTATTCAAGGCCATATTACAGGGGGAATCCTAAAACTGTGATGAGATTAAAGAAGTGTCGCATTCCACTCTTAATATTCCTACAACTATTTGCTTTACCAGATAGATAGATAGACAGACAGATACACACACACACATATATATACAGATATGAGATATGTATATATGAGGTATGTATATGTGAGATATATGAGACATATATATATATGAGATAGATGTATACAGACATATATATGAGACACATATTGAAGGGAGTGTGGAGTCTTGCAATGAAAGGCATGCAAAGACTCCCATGAGTCTAAAGTTAGCCTTTTTTTTAAGCCATTACCTTAGCTTCTTCTGGTTTCTAGCTACCTTAACTGCAGACAAATAGCCCTGCAAATCATCAACAACTGTGAGAAGAGGATGAGAGCAAGAGAGAGAATAGAGTGCTTTCCACACTGAGCACCAAGACTTGAGGAAGACTAGGAAAAACCCTGGTGAGAGTGAGACCAGAGTGAGACCCTAGTGGTGAGTCCCTGGTGATGGTGTTGGAGAGACTTTAGCATTTCTTTGGAGAAATTATAGCAAAGTGTAACCAGAGGAGCCCTGAGATAAAGGTCACAGTTAAAGATTTTTGCTATTCTTACCAGATGCTTGAAGGAGAAGCTGATTTATGACTGCTCTGAGGCAAACCTTTCTGAGTCACTGAGGAAACCAGAGGCTTCTTGAATTAGTGTTGATGGACTGAAACCAGGATTTTTTACTAATTAAGGATTGTTGTTTTGCTGTCAATCCAGCTTGGGACTGCTAGACTAAAACCTAAACTTGAACTGCCTCCCCAACTCTCAATACCACAACTGTGAGTAAAGTCTGTGAGTTAATAATGAATAAATTAACCCCTTGTGGTTCTAGAGGCACTATGGGGCTGAGCTATGTGCTCTTTTTCAGGTTTCTGCTTTGGGGCAGTGAGGGGCTGTGCTATTCTCACTCCCTCTAGCCAGAAAGACACTCAAGGCCCTGCTGTTCCATTTCCTGCTCTCTAGGCAATTATTAGGAAATCACTCTCTCTGGAGTAAGAATGTTGTTCTACGTCTTGATGGAAGTTTGGCATAGACATGTATATGCATTCAACAAAACTCAGTCAATGTTTATATTTTATTGTTTATCTTACCTTAAAAGGTAAAATTCTACCTAAAATTTCAATCACCTTGCTGCAACAACACCTGCATGTGAAAGCCCTAGAAGGAATACAGCCAGGGTACTCCTCAGAAGCAAAAATCGAAAGAATTTCCCATAAGAAAAGTCCTGACCAGATGGCTTCACAGCTCAATTCTACCAAGCATTCAGAGATCTAGCATTAATTCTTCTTAAAGTATTTAAAAAAAAATAGAAAAAGAAGGAACACTCCAGAGTCTATGAAGCAAGTATAACCCTAATATAAAAACCAGGCAAAACTATTACTAAGAAAAAATCCTTAATAAAATCCTAACCAATAGAATACAAAAGCACATAAAAAAAATTCTTCATGACCAAGTGGGATTCATAACATATAAGCAAGGATGGTCCAAAGGAAGAAGCAAAATTTGTGAGAGTTTGTTTATCTCATACACTTTAGGAATGTTGTCAGGAGGAGCCAGACCTTGTGGGGGGAATACATATTCGAAAAATTAATAGCCAGTAAAAGACAGGAAAATCAAACTAGAATATAGAATATAAGGGCCGCAGGAGAGAGTCTTTGGCATCTGTCACTGTGTGACATCTTCAATTTCTTACACTGTTGTTGTTATAAATCATCAAATTAGAACCAACTCATAGCTGCCCCTCCAATAAGTTTTCAGAGACAGTTAAGAGAAGTCTGCTGATCTTTTGAAGCAACTGGTAGAGTCTAACGGTGTGCCTTCAGGCTGTCAGCACATCTCCTTAACACTAAACCATCAGAGCTCCGGGCCAAAGTGTAACTTAGTTAATCAGCATCTAATGTAAATTATTGCAAAAAGATATGCCTTTCAGATATTTGTTATGCTAATAAATGGAACACATAGATGTTTCTGTATTATATAAGTATACTCCAGTGCCTGAATGTAAACTGAATCCTGCTGCAGATAATAATGATTAAGGAACTACTTAGTAATTAGGTTACTTAGTCACCATTACGTGTTATTCTTACCTCATTTGACGGAATTGTGGCAAAGGGTTTGATGACAGCAGCTAATGGGATCTGAGCTTGCTTGGCCATATCTGACGTGCATGGGAAACAGTATGTTGTGCAACGGATGTATCGAGGACTCGCGTTCCCTGGAACATTAAAGAATTGCACTTAAAATTTGCTTAGAAAACATCCTCCCTAAGATATATAAATATTTTAAACATACTTCCAAGTAATGTATTTACCTATTAGTAAACTTTCTCCATGATCCAAAAAAGTGGGGTTGTACAATCCTATAATCTAATGTACACATGGCATCAGCTCCAATTCTTACACGGGCTCTGTAGAGCAGGTTTGGTCCTCACATTTTAGGAAACATCATGAGGGGTCTAAGAGGGATGACTAAGTCTCACCCAAGGATAAATGTCACTGGACCAGAACCAGGTCTACTGACTTCTTCATTGCTTGGTCTTGAATTGCTATTCTGCCAGGTCTCTAAGGTGGTGAGAGTGTATTACAAGAAAGCAAAACATCAACCGAACCCCTGGTGGTGCTAATGGTTAAGGGCATAGCTGGTAAGGGAAAAGGTGGTAGTTAGAATTGACTCAGAGGTAAAGAAGGAGGAAGGGATGACTGCTTTTAAAAGGTCACACCACAAACTCTGCATCTATGGAGTCATCATGAGTTATAACTGACGTGATTGGAATTTTATCTCACACAGCATGAATTAAAAGGGAAAATTTTCTTAAACTGACTGATATTTTGCATTAAAAATCACAGAAGCTCTAGACTTCTACAGGCAGAGAGCAGAATTCTATTGGAAGGATCTTTTTAGTACTTGCATGATTAAAGGTGAAACAGACCTTACCATCAGCTATAACGGGTTCTCCACCAATGACAGTACTATTAGTTGTCAAGGAACATGCTTTTTAAAAATTGTCAGAAATTTAGAAAGGTCAACCAAAAATACAATTGAAAGTAAATACCTTGGTCTTGTACCATAAAATCTGTAGTGACCAGGGGAGGAACTTGGCCTCTGGTGTTGGTCATATAGACTTGTCCCCCTCGTGTGGCTCTGTCATTCTCAATTACTTGGATCTGTTAAGTAAGACATCAAGAGTAAGTTAAACCAAGTTAAGATTATTTCAAATATTCAAGAAAACTAACAGGCTTTTCTGAATCCTTTCAGTTCATTTCATGTCAAATTTTCACTGGGAATCTATAATTATCTTCATCTCATTTTGTTTATTTTCACAATTTTAGAACAAGCTGATTCTCAAATTCTATTTTGTAATACTGACCCTGCAAAGAACTTTATTTATTTAGAAGACACCACAGGTATACACACACACACACACACACACACACACACACTCGAGATCCTGATAAGAAAAATAAGTAAAAGAACTTTAACAAAATAAATTCCAAAGGACTAAAAGTCATTACATTCCGAAAAAACTAGTTTTAATATATAGCCTAAGGAAATCTTATCTTTTCTCCTCAAATTCTTTTCAATCACATTAATTTGGTTTTCAAGATTTCCTCTAAGCCTATGTTTAAAGACAAAATAAACAATATAAGACATTCTTTGTTTTATCTAATGTACAAATATCAAAAGAAGCAATATTTCTGTTTTGTCCTCCAATCTGCAGACCTATTTCTCTGCTAAAAAATGTATCAATGATACTATATAAGAGAAATTGGGGATGTAAAAAAAAAGGGGGGAAATTAGTCATGCCAACATGGTCTAGGCTAGAACCACAGTAGGCAGGTCAGTAAGACTAGCTCAACGGTTCAATATAAGTGAATTAAAGAGAGAATCAAAGATGAATCTAAGTTTGGGATTCACCCTCCTCCCTCCTCGTTTTAACCAGAGAAACCAGACAGATGAGAGTGGAAACTGGACTGCAGGAGGAAAAGACCATAAATATCTGTGTTCTCATTTAAAGCTAGGAGAATGGACAAAATCCCCTCAATTGATCCTTCTTAAACCTCACTGTTCCTAAGGAACATCCGGAGAGTATGTTAAACACAGATTCTAAGGCCCCACTCCCAGACATTCTAATTTAGAAGGTCTGAGATGAGGCCTGGGAGACTCTTAGTGGATCAGATGGCTAAGTGCTGAAGACGGTGGTTCGACTCCATTCAGAAGCACCACAGAAGGTTGACAATCTATGTCTGAAATAACACAGCCATTGAAAATACTATGGACAGTCCTGCTCTGTATCATAAAGGGTCATCATGAGTCAGAACTGACTTGATGGTAACTAGTTTGGTTTTCACTTGATATGGGATCTGAGGATATAAATTTCTAACAAGCTCCCGTTGACTATGCCATCCTGGGAATGCATTTTGAATACTGCTGATCTAAAGAATAAGTGATGATTTCAGAAAAAGGTCTAAATATTGAGATACTCATAATCAAAAGATGAATTGCATTGGTAAAGTTGGCTATCAGGGACCCCTCCAAAGTTCTAAAGAGTAATGATATCAGTCTAGGGAGTACGGTGCACCTGATCCAGGTCATGATCATTGCAATTAGTTGTTATACATTAGACAGCTGGTCAATGATTAAGGATAACAGAAGATGCATTTTGAGTTGTGGTGCTGAAGAAGAGTATTGAACATACCATGGACCACCAAGAGAACAAAAAAAGTCTGTCTTGGAGAGGGCAAAACTGAGTTTCTCCTTGGAGGCTAGGATTTTGAAGCTCTGTCTCACATACTTTGGGCACATGGCCAGGAGGGACCTGTCCTTTGAGAAGGACATCATTCTGGGAAGGATGGAGGGACAGTGCAAGAGAGGAGGACCCAAGATGAGATGAATTGACACAGTAACTGGGTAACGGGGGTGGGTGTGTCAGAGTCAGTAAGACAAGCTCACAATAGGGCAGGTTACAGAGCTATAGTACATAGGTTTGTTATGAGTTGAAGGCAACTCGACGGCACACAACAACAATATATAACAAATGATCAAAAGATGAGATGGATCCAACAACAGAGACATGAAAAAGCCATCAGTGGGGTTAATAGAAACTAAAATGACAAGGTGTTGGTGTCATTGTTATTAAGTGCCAGTGAGTCAAGTATGACCCAGAGTGATCCTATGAATAACAGCTTTGAACCCTGTCCTATCTTGTGCCATCATCATCATCTTTGACACACTCAAGCCCATTGCTTCAGCCGCTATGTCAGTCCACCTAGTTGAAGGTCTTCCTCTCCTCTTTCTAAGCATTATGTCCCTCTCTAAGGAATAGCCTCCCCTAGCAACATTCTCAAAGTATATGAGATGAAGCTTTATTTGCCTCCAATGTAGTTCTCCCAAAAACCAACTATAAAGTGTTTTTAAAAAGGATTTGAACAATTGTGTCAAATTGCTCCTGATAAACATAAACTGATAAAATCTGAGACTCAGCTTTAGTAATAGAAGTTCATCAGTGACTTGGACCAAGAGTACTGGTGGGATGTACTGATGGAATCTAAACTAAAGCAGTCTCAAGAGGAATGGGAGGCAATTAAATGGAGATAGCAGGTATAGGAAATATGGATTTTTCTTCTTTTTTTTTTCTTGTTAAAGAGAGCAAAGAAACAGAAAAGGAAATGAGAGAGATCTGGGGAGAGTTCAAAGTATTATCTTATTGGAAATGATCAAGACAGAGAGATGTTAAAGTATATATCCAAATGAATACAGATAATGCAGAAAAGATAAGAGGTTTGCTCGAAAGAGACAAGAAGGTGTGGAATTTAGGGAACAAGTTGAGGCTTTGGTTAGGAATATGGAAAACCTACCCAGAGCAATAGGAAGAAAGGGAGATAAACAAACACATAAATATGCTGGGAGATAGGGGATTAGAGCAAGCAGAGGTTTCCTTTACATACATTCTACTTTCTCAATTGGATAAGAGCAATCCAAAATTCAGCAAGGAAAAGTGAGATAGGGAGTTGGAAGAGAATAAATAAAAACTATAGGAAAATGTCAAAGACACTGAACTTAGATGATGGTCTTCATTATCTGCTATAGAATCATCAAAGATGATTTTTAAAATGCAAGTGCCCAATAAGGGGTTGATTAGACAGCATACTAAAAAAGGACAAAATCCCACAATTGTATGAGGACATAAGGAGGAGTAAGAGGAGCAACAGGAAATCCAGGAGAATTTTTTAAAAAGAATTTGAAGAGTTTAAAAAAATTCCAACGTCTAGTCTATAGCTCAGTTTCATTAAAATGAAATTTAGAGATGGAAATGAATCAGTATTTTTAAAAGTTCATCAAGTGACTGTCACATGTGGCCAGGTTTTATAATTTTATCACTAAAGGTTAACCCATATTTAATGGTCACTTACTGAAAATGAGACTACGGACAAAATGGTGTGCATTTTTCATAAGTTACATTTCACTTCCCAAGTGTTGGCTAGGAACAAGTGGAGAAATAGTTTAACCACAAATGGGGCTTTTTAAAATTTCTGGTAGGGTTGTTTGTTGATTTTGTTGTTTGTTTTTTTAAAATATTTTATATTGGTTTACTTACATAGTTCGTATACATTGTGTTTCACATTATCCTTCATTCAAATTTTGTTTATAATTTTGTTATAATCATTTCCATTCATGTTTTACAAAATTAATCATCATTTAACTATGCCCACCATTACCCTGTCTTTCCATATTCCTGGAGATCTTTCCCAGCAATGGGACTTTAAAAGGTAAATTCAGAGGACAGAAAGAGACAAAAGAGTCGAGGGTATAGGATACTAGATGTCAAGGTTAAATACTATCATGGAATCTAAACTGGATTAAGAGAAATAAAAATATATCATCCATGAAGAGAGCAAAAGGTCGTTACAAAGACAGAGGAGGGAGAAAAGACCAAAATAAATGTTAGAAGAGACTCAATATTTTACTTGAGAGCTGAGAAGCCAAAGCAGAGAAAAGAAATCAAGATATTAAAGAGCTGAACAGCAGATTTCAAAAGGTGGCATGGGAAGACAAAGTAAAGTATTACAATGAAATGTGCAAAGAGATGGAGTCAGAAAATCAGAAGGGCAGAACTTGCTCAGTATTTCTTAAGTTAAGGACCTGAAGAACAAATTCAAACCTTGAGTTGCAAAACTTAAGGATGCTTTGGGCAGAATATTAAATGATCCAGGAAGTATTAACAGAAGATGGGAAGAGTATACAGTCATTATACTGAAAGGAATTGACAGACAAGAAGAATTTCCTCAAACAACATATGAGCAAGAGGCTATGGTGATGAAGAAGTTCAAGCTGCTTTGAAAGAACTGGCAAAAAATAAGGTGCCAGGAAATTGATGGTATAACAATTGATGTATTTCAACTAACAGATGCTGCCCTAGATGTGCTCACCAAGTTGTGTCAAGAAAACTGGAGGACAACAACTTGGCCAACTGACTGGAAGAGATCTATATTTGTTCCCATTCCAAAGAAAGGTGATCCAACAGAATGCAGAAATTATCAAACAGCATCATTGATATCACATGCAAGCAAGATTCTGCTGAAGATTATCCAAAAGTGAATGGAACAGCACATCAGCAGAGAACTTCCAGAAATGCAGGCTAGCTTTAGAAGGTGTCTTGGTATGAGGGATATTGTAGTTAGTGGTATTAAGGATATTATAGCTAATATTAGATGGATCTGGGCTGAAAGCAGGGAATACCAGAGGAATGTCTATCTGTGTTTCATTGATTATGCAAAGGTATTTGACTGTGTGGATCAAAACAAACTGTGGCTGACTCTGAGAAGAACGGGAATCGCAGAAAGCTTGATCATACTAATGTGAAACCTGTACTTGGACCAGGAGGCAGTCTTTAGAACAGAGCAGAGTAAGGCAACACTGCATGGTTCAAAATTGTTAAGGGTGTATACCAGGGATGTGTCCTATCTCCATACATTTTCAATCTATATGCAGAATAGATTATCCAGGAGGCTGGGCTGTATGAAGAGAAATGTGGCATCAGGATTGGAGGAAGATTCATCAACAATCTGCATTATAAAGATGACACAACCCTGCTTGCTGAAACTGAGGAGGACCTCAAGCACTTGCTGCAGAAGGTCAAGGACTGTAGCCTTCAAAATTGATTGAG